ATTCAATCCAAACAACGTTCATATTAAAAATAAATACATAATAATAAATTCGTTACACTTCATTCCCACGCTCACCTGCTCCGCTCTGGAATCATGAAACCCCCACGTGCTCAGTTTGCTAGAACATTCAAGAAGTCCCTCGATTTCTCATAAAAGGGGTGGAGTCAGACGACTCTGTCTCAATTGCCTCTCATTCATTCAGTTGGTCAAATCACCTCGCTCTGCGCACAGTCAAAACAAAGTCTGATCTTTCAGTATAAATATAAATTTTGGAGGCATTCCGCACTCTACAAATGATGCATTTTTTTTCTATCCCATTTTAGCTGTTTTTGAATTTTTAAATAAGTCTTATTTTTTTACTCACATCATGTTCGCGTTATATAATTCGCGTATATCTTTTACACTCTAGTTCTGTAAACAAAATATTTTATATTTTATATAAAATCATTTGAAATGCTGGCAGCCTACCGTTCAAGTAAAGTCTGAGAGTATAAAAACCACCCAAACAGTTTTTGCTACACTCGTAGAAAATATATTACAGTTTCACAAAGGAATAGTATCACACACAAGATAAAGATGTGGCTTACTACCACTATTCTGGGTATAAAATTGGTGACCAAAAAAGAAAAAAAAAAAAAAAAAACAAGAAAAAAAAACATTGGGCTCCACATGTGTCTTCTAAAGTTTGCACATCTGGCTGAATATGAAAAGAGCAGATATGCCATTTCCAGTTCCCATGATATGGCGTGAGTCCAAAGATAATCTAACTGACTGTTACTTTTGCATGACTAATGTTTCTGGATATTCAGGCAAACTAAACAATACATGAAATATCCAGATATTACATACGCAATGAAACCAGTACCTCATGGGGGTGGTCTTCCAGTGCCACATCCACCAGTGAAGTTGGGAAACAGAAGAGTTATTCTGCAAAGAAGACAATGAATCATCTAGCAATTCTATTTCAGTGGTACCTCAACATAAACTACCTCATCTGATCACACAAGAAGAGATAAATGATCTAATTCGTGACTTGTCTTTATCAAAGCAGTATGGGGAACTTCTTGGTTCTAGTTTACAGCAATGGAATTCATTAGCTCCTTGAACAAGAGTTTCAATTTACCGAAGTCGCCATCAAAATCTGACATCTCACTACAGCATGCAATATACTTTGTGTTTCTGTACAAATGTTGATGCATTAATGGAAGAATTAGGTAGTGAACATCATCCTCAATAATGGGGTACATTTTATCGATTCATCTAAAGTTAGTCTGAAAGCTGTACCTTTGCACAATGGGAAAACTAAGCCATTAATTCCTGTTACTCATGAAAGAAACTTATCAAATCTTGCAGATTATATTTGAGGCCATTAAGTATGATCACCATAGGTGGAACATATGTGGTGATCTAAAAGTTTTTGCACTCCTTCTATGCCTGCAGATTGGATATACTAAACATTGTTGCTTTTTGTGTCTCTGGGACAGTCTAGATGATAAAAAGAAGGAATGACTAGTGAGAGAGAATTACATACCAGGAAAACAGAATATCAAGTATCAACCTTTAGTGAATCCTCAAAATGTGTTTCTGCCCCCACTTCATGTTAAATTGGGACTCATGAAAATTTTTTAGAAGGAATGAACAAAGATGTTAATGGTTTCATCTATCTGTCTGACAAGTTTCCAAAAATCAGTGAATCAAAAATGAAAGAAGATATCTTTTTTGAGGCCACAGGTTCGAGAAGTGCTTTTTTTTTAAAAATAATACTCAATCAGAAAGAACTTGATGCCTGGAAATCATTCAAACTGGTTGTTAAAAATTTCTTAAGAAATCACAGAGATGAAAGTATGCTGTGATGATATGTTCGAGAACTACAAGGAAAAGGGGTTTAGGATGTCACTAAAGGTGCACTTCTTTCACTCCGAGTTAGACTTCTTTCCAAATGAGCTGGGTGCAGTGAGCGATGACCATGACGAGCGCTTCAACCAAAATATTTCTACAATGGAACAGCAATATCAAAGACAATGGAATCTTGCAATGATGGGAGATTACAGAGTGAAGTTGAGAACATAAACAAAAGTCACAACAAGTCAAGCAGATATTTTATAACAAAAATAATACCACGATGAAAGTTTTAAACACAGCCCGAATGTACTTTTAGTACATAATCATACTATACTCATTGCTTTTTTGAACTGGTATTTCTATTATGCATTGTTTCGAACATTTTTAAGCGCAAATTTTAATGAATAAACAAAGTTATTTAAGAAAAATATATTTTCACGATGTAAAAAAAAAGGAGTATTTTTTAAAAATCTATCATAACTTGAAAACTAGAGTTAATCAGTAATTTTCAACATGAGTTTTAGAATCAAAATCGTTAAATTATTCAGAAACAGTTGAATTTTTTCTAGTAGCAGATAAAAATTGTTTTTATTGCCTGGTGTTATTGAAGCATGGTTTGACTTGGTACAAATACCAAGAACACCTGAGATAAGATGAGATCAAAGATAAAACCTGGTTTTATCAGACAAAAATAATAGTCGCTTGAGCTGCTAATCAATTCGATATAGTCCATTAAAATATTCTTCATTATCAACGTACAATACATTGACTTTTCAGATTTTGTTATGTTTATTGGGTGGATTTAGAACTAAATTTAATTATAATACAGTTGTTGGATTTGGGATAAACAGGCATTTGAAGACTGAAATGTGTTTGAAAGAACTTGTTGCTAGGGGTCATTTTTCAAAATAAATATAGGAAATGATACTTGCCCATTATGGTTCTATATTTACTTATTTTACATGCTTTCAGACACAAACGCATACTGTAATCACTTTTCCCCAGCATATCTTTACATAACTCAACATGAAAAAGGATATCCATCAAAACAAAACATTTTTGGTATATTTTGAATTTGTGAGAACAAACAACATTCAGAGATTCTGGCTTGTTGTCTCAGCAGTTCTTCATAACATTCACAAAAATGTTCGGGAATGGTGAGTGTTCAATAAACAATGTGCTACAACGATGCCATGACCATTGTCTGAATTAAAGTAAAAAAACAACAAAAAATCAACAAACTCTACTGAAAAAAATCAATCGTAGCTTTTCCGGATGTTATCCAATTTAGATCGACGTGCAGACGAACAATTAATAAATCCGTTGATCTGACATAAAAGTTGGTTTTTAGAAATATTACGTTTATATAAAAATCTCGAATTTCTTAGTTAAAAACACTGACAGGTAGTGAATGATTTAATAAAACAGAACACGGGTATGTACTGAAAATTTATACTTCAAGTCTCTCTAATAAAAGACTCCCACACAAATGATTATATTTTCATACTTGCTATAGTAATAAATGTGCGTTTTCATGAGGTAATTAATATACACACTGTATTTATTAGATACACATTTTGCTAAATTGATCGAGTTTTATTTTCAATAAGAAGACATGATTAGTTTCACGAAAACTGGTATAGCATTTTATCAGTAGTGTAGATAGTTGTCGAGGTTAAAACCAAATCAATGTAATCATTATGCAACATGCGTCTTCCCACTCCATTACCTACTCATTTTTCTCACGTCTATATTTTAATCTGTTGTCAACCCCATCTTTTAACTACAAAAAGAACTAATCTTAAAAATGTAAAGCTAACCTTGCTAACACAAAATTAACAAGCAATCGCTGACTCTAAGGGTCCGGCATGGCCAAGTGGTTAAGGCGCAGGTTTTTAAATTCCCAATTTTTTATTTATCTTGTAGATATTTTATGTTCTAAGTTAGATCCAGTCGAAGACCTAATTTCCCATGGGAAATGGCCCGGCATGGCAAGGTGGTTAGGGCGCTTGACTCGCAATTTGAGAGTCACGGGCTCGAATCCCCGTCCCACCAAACATGCTCGCCCTTTCAGCTGTGGGGGCGTTATATTGTGACGGTCAATTCCTTTAATCATTGGTAAAAGAGTAGCCCAAGAGTTGGCGCTGGGTGGTGATGACTAGCTGCTTTCCCTCTAGTCTTTCACTGCTAAATTAGGGACGGCTAGCAAATATAGCCCTCGTGTAGTTTTGCGAGAACTTCCAACCAAACCTGACTCAACGACAGTAGAAATAGTAAGGCACTTTGTTGAAACCGTATCTGGAATTTAGTTTTTATTCTTTTTCTGAAAATCTACAGGAATATGCATTATTTTAAGAGGAATTCATAAGTGTAAGCCAATCTATAATTGGATAATGTAACTGTGTCTCAGTAGTTCACTTGGGGGCTGACAATAGTAAATTCGGAGTTCGATACCCATGATGGACACTGCATACTTCAGCCAGTTGTGCTTAAAATACACAAAAGCAAAAAAGACTAATATTGATAATGATTTCAATAAAAATTTTCTATATTAAGTATTTCAAGAAGAAGTGTTATTTTTATCACAATACACCTGTACATAGTAACTACTTCCAGCAACTTTTGTTATCACAATACACCTGTATACAGTAACTACTTCCAGCAACTTTTGTTATCACAATACACCTGTACACAGTAACTACTTCCAGCAACTTTTGTTATCACAATACACCTGTATACAATAACTACTTCCAGCAATGGATCACAATACACCTGTACACAGTAACTACTTCCAGCAATTTTTTTTATCACAATACACCTGTACATAGTAACTACTTCCAGCAATGGATCACAATACAACTGTACTGAATATTTTGTACTGTTTTGAATTTCGTGCAAAACCACTCTATAGTTATCTGCACTAGCCGTCCCTAATTTAGAAGTGATAGAATAGAGGGAAGGAAGCTAGTCATCACCACCCACCACCAACTCTTGGACTACTCTTTTACCAATGAATAGTAGGATTGACTGTCACATTATAATGCCCTCACGGCTGAAAGGGCGATATATTTGGCAACAGTGGATTCGAACCCGCAGATTGCGAATTAAGCTCCCTAATTGCCAGGCCACATCCACAATGATGCTGAAAGACAAACAAGTCTGACATAAAAGGTTTTAATGTTCATCAACTTTTCATTAGTTCGTATTATAATAAACAGATGTAAAAGGTATTGGTAGATTGAAGCAAAGAAAGATATAAAAATATTTTAACATTTATATGTAGTCCACAGTTATTTGAATACAGTTAAATGGGAATAAACTGTGCACTGTCTCCTCTGTCTAACACCAAAATTGTATACATAAACATTATACAGAATCACTTCAATTAACCTCTAAAGAGGATTTTTCTCTAAGTACTGTTTTACTCAGGTTTCTTCATACAGTTTCCATCTGGGTATCGTTGCTGGAATGACTCAATCAGACTGGGATCTATCAGCCGCACTCCGTCCACCTGATTACCAAGAGTAATCCAATTAGGTTGAACATTATGAGACCGACCAAACAGTTCAATTTTTCTAGTTCCTGGAGAAAGCCTCTCTATAATTCCATAAATTTCATCTGGCTTGTGGCTAGTTGCACGAACTTCTGCAACAATCACATCGCAATCCAATCCACGATTGATTGAATCTGGATCCCCCTTGATTCCTACCAGACAATGTTCTTTTCCATGATTTAACCAATGACCTGTTCTTCCAGTACGAATAATTCTCTGAAGCTGATTGGTCTTTACCCAGATAATTTCATCACAACGTTCATAACCCCACAATTTGAGGCACTCACGTCCAAGTTCCATGGCTCGTCCAGTCACCCACAAGAAGATTAAGCCTTCATCCTGTAAACTTGGAATATTCAACTGTCTCATTTCATCATCTGACATTGTTCCATATGGTAATTCCATGTGAATATCCCAAGGTGGGTCAGCCATCACGACAGCAAACTTACCCAGAATTGTCATGTCAAAAAAACGCAAGTCACACTGAATCCACTGTGCTGGATATAACGTGGTTACTTTTCCATCATGTGACATTTTTGAATCTTGTTTATCATTGAGCTGAATCTTTGCTGAAGGAGGTGTAATTGTTGAATAGTCAACTTCATAGTGAACATACTTGCACGTATCCATATGGAAACAAGTGTTTAAGAAAGAACAGTCACCAAGAGACTCGTCAGTATGTTTCTGAATGATTTTTTTGAAGTGAAGTTTGGTACAAGCTTTATTGTCTCCTGACATTTTGATACATTCTTCTTTGGTTCCATGAGGGCAAAACTCCTGAACCTGAGCTCCACCTTGTGACTGAAAACGTTCCACTAAAGATCGTTCTTTTGCTGTTGGTTTACTCAACAACTCTAAAATTTCTTCTCCCATTTTTTTATTTTCTTTTTCTCGTGCCGAGGGTAAAGAAAGAAGACTTTCAATATTGATATTTTCACTGTCTTTTTTGCCAGTTTCTTTAGCTTTAGCATTTATTTTAGTTTTTGGCTCATCTTCCAAAACTGTGTCACTTTTCCTTTTCTCTGTTATTTCTAGATCCTGTTTATCTCCCTCAAATATATCTAGAACAGCCTGAAGTTTGTCATGTTCAGCTGACTCAACAACAAGTAAACTCTTACCTTCTGGGGAAAAGCTTTCCTTAATGGAAATAAGTTCTTGTGCTGAGAATTTCTGCAGTAGATTCTCCACCATCAAGTTTGAGACATCTTTTCCCAAAGATTTCGAAACTGATGAAATAAGATTTAAGGAATCTACTGGGAGATTTAGAGCAGCATCACAGAGCCTCAGCAGAAGTTGGTGTTCAACTTCTGGGTCAGTCTTTACCTCCTGAGTTTTAACCAAACTTTCTTCTTTAGATTGCTGTTGAACTGGGTTAGGGCTATTGCTGCGGGGGCTTCCTGTTGGCCCTCCAAGCTCCCCTTGGATGCTTAAGACAATGCCTTCTCTTTCTTTCTTTCTTCGTTGTAGTCGTTCCCGCAGACTACTCTGTCTTGACTTCAAGGCCTGTATGTCACTCCAAGTATCTGACATCTTCAAATTCTGTGGTTTCAGAGCTAGAGATTTACCTAAACAAAAAATAATCTTTCATTAATATGTACACATTTTGCACTAGATTTAATAAGCAGTGTGTAATTCACTGTGATGTTAAACTCCTTAGCTGCATCTTGTACCTAAAACTTCTTATTTACAACAGAATCACATTACACGACTTATGTCCAGTCTTCATTCTCAGAAACATAAAGCAACATTATGAACATTAAGATCTTCTAAAAAAGAGAAAGTCACATATGCTATAAATTACAAGTATTTATTAAAAAATATGTTCACATTAGTTTTTGTTTTCCTAAGTAGCACAACAGAAATTAAGAGGAAATAACAAGGCTCTTGCAAAATGTATATAAATTTAACCATCTGTCTAAGTATAATTATGTTAAATGACTTAATTGCTAATAGACTCCACTCAGCTTCTGAGAATATCGGTTGGAAGAATATTAGCATGCATTAAAAATTGTCCCCGACTTTCAATTCATGACAAAAATGTTTTATTCATAACAGGAAAAATTTGATAGTTAAATTGTTAATCAACTGATAATCATAGGGTGAAATAAAAAGCTTTTCAATATAAAAGCAGTCCTTCAAAAATACATTTCTCAAGAGTCAGTACCTTGTCCTACACTATGGATTGTAGTCATGATCATACAATTTAATACTCATAACAGTTGAAATAATTTGTCTTTTTATTACTTCAATGAAATAATAAAATGTTAATTTAGACCCAAGTTATAAATATGTTGCAAACCAGCACACCTTGTAAAATGCAACAACAAAAAAGTGTTTAAAATTAAGAAGGGGCAAATTAATTGGTTTAATAGCTCGTAATGGTTTACTGACCAATTAAAATCATCAAATATTATATATACATAATTTACATATATTTAAGGACTACAAGGGACCTCTTGGTCCATCTAGGCCATCCCATCCATTATACCATTATAGCTGGTAATGGTTTACTGACCAATTAAAATCATCAACTATTATATATACATAATTTACATATAATTTAAGGACTACAAGGGACCTCTTGGTCCATCTAGGCCATCCCATCCATTATATAAAATTCTAAAATAAAATTAAAATACTCAATGACAACCCTTATCACTCAAATATTTATCAAGCCTTCCCTTAAACTCCCATAAATTAACTGCATCACAACATCCAAAGGCAATTCAATCCAAAGGCCAACCACCCTGTTAGAAAAATAAAACAGTCTTAGCTGAAGATGACTCCTACCCTGCCAAAATTTATATTTGTGTCCCCTAGTCTTACTATTCTCACCATTAAGTATGAAAAAAAGATGATGCATCAACACTATCAATTTCCTTAACAATCTTAAACACCTCAATCTGATTCCTCTAACTCTTCTTTCTTCAAATTAAAACAGTTTTACAGATCTTAACCTTTCTATCCCAGATATTGTCTTTGTAGCCCTCCTCTGAACCTTTTTTAACAATTCAATGCCCTTCCTAAGGCAAGGATCACAAAACTGAAAATACTACTCCAAATGTGATCTAACCAATGATGTATACTATGACATTATTTAAATAACCAGCCAATTATTAAGTTAGAAAAATTTGTGGATCTTGAATTTTCATGATTGAAGCTTGACAAGACAGGCTAAAATCATTTTTATCTTAATATCCAATTACTGTTTAAAATATGAATCTCCCAGGAATCACAGAAAATGTTACGACTTTTTAAGAATTGCTACTTGTGTTTCCAACTCAGGTGTCTTTGCCTTATAAAGATAAAACTTTTTAGGTTTGGATTAATGCCTTCCCACCTCTAACAAAGCCATAGATGAAAATAGAACTCACCAGCATCACCATACAATGACTTATATGCACTGTGATGTAGTAAGCTTAAATCAACAACTACACATTATAAGGCATGGCAGCCCAAATGCCCAAGGATGGAAATTTCAGGATGCCTTGTATATCTTTCATTCCTCTTGAGCTTAAGATGTAAGATATATATATATATATATTAATGATACTTGTCTAACACAGAAACTAATGAGACCAAGGATATTACATGTTTACATTTTCAATAGTTAACTGTTTTTACAGAACTAAATAATCCACTAAGATTAGAAAGGTTTCCACCTTATCCAGTGCTGTGTCAAACAAGTTTTACTGTGTTTCTAATATAAACCTGAGATTAAACACACCAAGAATGGCCTTAATATTGCCTTTATTCCAAAACGGGCATAGCTTGTCATATAGATGTATAATAAGTCATTTCAAAGACTACCAATAAAGGGATTACATAATAGTGAAAAACATAACCAGCCAAACAGTAGCAATTAATTCATCTGTTATTGAATATTTTTACGTCAGCATGTCTAGTCTTTGACATGTATCTACAGCTTAAGATTTAATACTGATGGTATGCATATAGTGAATTGTTAGTGTTTTAAACAAAGGTTAATAAGAACTTTGATGTCTCTGCTACATTATACAAGGATATGTTAGAATAGATGCTACTAGTAATACTACTTAATCAAATCCTATTCAAGTTTAGTTGGTGAGTAAAACAATATAAGGACAACCGAATTATAATTATAAACTAAAATTAAAAACATCATACATTTACTGATGTCAATTTATCAGTATCAGTTAAACTTTTAAATCAAATGTGAATACTCAAACTCGAGGATTAAGTTTCATAATTTGTGACAGCCCAAAAATCAGGTATTAGATCTTTTTTTTTTATGTGCAGTTAATTTTCTTTTAGTTTTACCTGACGTTCAGCACCGATAATACCACCAATAGACAACAATTTAAACACTTTTCGATTCTCCTGCCATCGAAATACTTTTAGCGACATCTGTCGTCTTTTTACAATTAACCTACAAATGAAAAAAACAAATAAGAGTTATTCTTATTCTTAATAAATATTTTTATGATGAAGCGAAGATATCAGTGTAGATATATATTTGAAAAAAAAGAGTAAAATACAAGCCTACTTATTTAATCAGCTCACTATATAATATTTACAATATATAAATAACATATTATGTGAATTTAAATTTCATATTTATTTTGAATAATTGCCTTTTTACGTGCAAGTATATGTGGTATATTCAAGAAAGACGACAAACAACTTTCGATAAATATTTTTATTCTACGAAATGTTTCGATTTACGCCTTTTTCGAGGGTCTTTGAGCGTCACGGATTATAAAACTGATTTTAAATTATAGTAGCCTAAAATAATCTAATACTACAACAATGTGCGATGAAACATACCAAAAGTATTCAAATTCGATGACGAGGAACCCACATTGTACATTTGCTGTTATGTTAAACTTATATCAAAGTTTTTCTTCATTACCCACTCAAGCCGTCTCCAGCCATTATTAATATCAAAAGTATTGCTACGACAGCGGAAGTCACGTGACGCTAGTAACATGTCGTGAGATTCTAGAACGATCGGGGAACATCACGAATAATCCAGTATTTGCTAGGCGCCCTCTATTCTTGTATATAAGTGCGCCAGATAAAGCCAGACAATCAATCGGAATTGAATAGTGGACAGAGAGATTGAAGATATAGACGGACAATTGAGTCAAGCGCTGTAGTAAGTAAAGTGCGTGAATCGTTCGTTGAGAATTATAACGTTTATTTAAGTGACTGTGGAAATTAAGTGTATTGCAAAGTTGTATTGAGAAAGAATAAACTAGTTTTATTTAAGAAAGGACTTGTATCACTGAAGTTTCTCTGGAAGAATTTCTACCGGAAATTATCAAACGAGCAGAGACGTAACAGTATTGTTAAACTAATTAAAAATAATAATTGTAAATAATGAAACACAAATAAAAAGGAAATAATAACAGTTTTAAAGGGACCAGGTATTATATATATTAATAGAAGGTGTTTGAGTTTAATCAAAAATTATCACAATTATTTAAAGTTTAGATATGATATAGTGTTTCGTCAATTATGCCATGTGAGTTGATCTAATTTTCAACTGTGGCTTCTTTGTTATCAAAAATAGCAATGGCACAAATATGTTCTTTGAAATGCCTCTAAATTATGAGTGATAGATTAGAGGAATGGCAGCTAACCAACACCACCCACTGCCAACTATCTGGCTGCTCTTTACTAATGAATAGTGGGATTGATCGTAACATTATAACGCCTTAATGGCTGAAATGGCGAGCATGTTTGGTGAAGGATTTCGAAACCACGATCCACAGACTGCTATTCAAGTGCCTAATCACCAGGCCATACCAAGCTTATGTACTGGGCAGGCATAATACGCTTCTTACTGTCTTATTTCATATAAATGCTTTCAGTTTTCTCTACATATTGTTTGTGTAGTTTTAATAGGAAATGTCAATCAAGAGAAATACTAATTTCCTCTCGCTCTAGCTACTTTCTAAACTGGGTTACTCAGCTAGGATATCACATGCCCATTCTTATGGGAAAGATTCCCGTAAAGTGGTGTATACTGTATTACTGAAATAAACAATGAAGTTTTCCACTGGCAAGTCAAATGATTCCTCAAAGATACAATATCTTATTTTACAGTGAGTGACACTGCCAGTCACATGTGTAGTTACTAAGGTAGCAATGAGACTAAGAATACTATAACAAGATATTTATTCTCTTAACGTTTTGACTACCAGGATGACTTCTGAAGAAGACTTGTAGTCGAAACGTTGAGAGAATAAAGATCTTATTGTAGCATTCTTAGTCTCATTGTTACCTTAGTATCCACTTGCCAATATGAATTATACCCAAAATGTGTATTGTCTGCAACCAAAGAAAACTGTTACTCTTCTTTTCAAGGGAAGGTGATAAAAATTGTCTCAGTAATAATAGAGCTATTAGTCTTACATCAATAGTCAAAAAAGTTTTTATAGTCTAATAAAATATGTTTTGTAACGTTATTTAAAAGTGTTTAATTTTTTCAGAGTCAACATGGTTTCACTAGAGGAAAGTTTGCTTTATTAATCTTTGAAGAGCTTGCTGCTTATGTAGAAGAGGATACAGGTATGTATTTGGTGTATCTGGGTTTCAGAAAGCATTTGAAAAGATACCAGATAAAAGACTTGTTAGAAACTACATCTATAGTTGTGAGGGATAAGTTGGCTCATTGGATATAAAACTGGCTAGATGGAAGAAAGCAGATGGTTGTTATAAATGAAGTTCAGTCAAAGTATATTAATATCTCAAGTGGGACACTTCAGTGGTCAGTGTTAGAACCTTTGCTCTTCTAGATCTACATAAATGACAGATGATTGAATGGTCAATAAATTACTTATATTTGTTGACGATGCTAAGGTTTTAGGGTATTGCTGACTGTGAGGATGCTGTTGCTGCTCTTTTACAAAATGGTTTAGATCATTTGATAAGTTGGGCAAATAAATGACAGCCAGCTTTTAATTATAATAAATGCAAGGTAATGCACATGGGCTATCATAATCTGAATTATAAGTGTAAATACAATGGGAATAACCTTAACAATGTTACAGAAGAAAAAGATCTTGGTGTTCTGATTGACCAGTCGTTTAAGCCATCCAAGCAGTCTACTGTTGCTAGTGATAGGGTAAATAGAATTTTAGATTTCATCTACAGAAATATTGAATACTAGTCTAAAGATGTCATAATTTCATTGTATAGTTCACTGGTAAGGTCACACTTACAGTATTCGATTCAATATTGGGCTCCTTATCTTAGAAATTGTATTCTCTGAAATTATTTTCTCTTGAAAAACGACGAATTAAAAGGCATCAGATTGAATTGTTTAAGATAAAGGAAACTGGTAGTTTCAATGAATCATCTATTTTCATAATTAATGGTGAAAATGGTAAGACTAGGAGATGCAATATACATTTTGGCATGGTAGGAGTCATTTTCAGCTAAGACAGTTTCATTTTTTTAACAGGATTGTTTGCCTTTAAAATGGGTTACTTTCAGATGTTCAAGGAACAAACTTGTTAAATGTTTGAATGGCAAAAACTGACTTTAAATTTTTAAATAGTTTAATTTAGTGGATAAGATGGCCTAGATGGACCAACAGGTCCAATATCGTCCTTAAATTTTGTGTTATGCTATTATTATTATTATTATATATATATATATATATATATATTGTTACGACAGCGGAAGTCGCGTGACGCTGGGAGCATGCACGCTGGAGTTTCTAGAAATATCGAGGAACCCCGCGAATCTCCGAGTGTTTGCCAGGCGCCCTCTTTTTTGAGTATATAAACCCGGCAAATAAAGCCAGCGATAGAAGAGATATAGATAGATTGAAGAGATAGATAATTGAGTCAAACAAACAATAGGCACCATAGTAAAGTGTGTGAATCACTGTGATTTATAATGTGTGTTATAAAGGTTCTTAAGTTTAAAGTGACTATGGAAATTCTGTGTATTATAAAAAGTTTGTATCGAGAAAGAATAAACAAATTTTAATCAAGAAAGGACTTGCATTGCTGAAGTTCCTCGGAAAGAATTTATCCCGGGAATTAACAAACAAGCAGATACGCAACAATATAATTATGTTTTCTCAGTCTATAACAAAGTTGAAGAGAATGGCAAAGGTTTGTTTATTTGTTTGTTGAATTTCACTCAAAACTTCTCAGATGTTCTCTGCACTCGTCAACCCTAATTTAGAAATGATGGACTAGAGGAAAGGCAGTTAGTTAACACCAACCAAAAACAACTCTTTAGCTACCCTTCACCAACAAAAAGTGGGATGACTGTCGTATTATTCTAGCCCAACAGCGAAAAAGTGGGAGGGTGAGACTAAGTTATATTAATTACTTGATCATACACAAGGTGGTTTAATTGGTTTTGAGTTTTAAACTAAGGGACAGCTGGGTCAGGCAGAAGATAAAGAAGAGAGGAACAGTGTACAATGCAGACATGATACGTGTTTTCTACCCTCTTACTTAATATACATACAAATATTTTTAAATTTATGTATATGTTGCATATGTTGTCTTAATATAGAATCTCAGTCAAGGCTGCCACTAGGTTCCTCTTGTCCTACTTACCTACTAAGCTGGGTCACTCATCTAGGGTGTCGTACACTTTCTCATGGGAAAGATTCCGGTAAATTGGAGCGTACTTAAAGAAATAAACAGTAATCTTTTTCCACTGATAAGTCAGGTGATGCTTCAAGAATACTTCATCCCTTATTTTGTAGCGAGAGTGACCATCAGTCACGTGGATAGGAGCTACATCCTGAGAAGAATGACATTGTTGCTTTTATTCTATAATGCTATGTTTTTCAGCCTGGAACAAGATTTAAGAGACAATAATGAAGATCATTGAACTGATGTAAATATACTTGATTTTCTAACTCTACAATAAAAGCATCACTAGATAAACTTGCTTTAAAACTATGATTGTGTTTATGTTGAAATAAAGATTGTTTCACTGTGTTTAACTTGTATCCAGTTTTTCATTGCTTCAAACTCAGCCGAGATTAAGATAATTCAGATTTTGCTTCGTAAAACATCGTCTGTTGAGCCTCCTGTTATTTTACGGCTCCTACCCGATTACTCGAAGGGAAATCAGTGAATATGAGAATATCACACACACATGTACATACATCTGTGTGTGTGTGTGTGTGTGTATGCAATTTTAGTAAACGTAATCTCAATTCTGTGATAAAAATCAATTTTAATCATTTGGTACAAATAATGCAAAGTCTACCCCACTTAATGGTAACAAAATTGGTTTATTTCTTTGAATATAACATGCAAGTTCCGCGAGCTATATTCACTGATAAGTTTAACTCAAAAATAAAACTAAACAGTCACATACTTGTTAAAATTCCTAAAAAATTAACTAATCAA